TTGCTTTAGAGCAATTCACTTAAATCCCCTTCGTCATTACGGCATTATAATTTTCCCATTTTTTAATTATCCACATCTTCTATCGAAGCATAAGTTATGAGTTAAAGAACTATTGTTTTATTGTTTCAAACGTCGTGTTAGTGCTCAAATTCTCCAAAAAATACGAAATTTACTTACACCAAGAGTTTCACTCAGATGAACAGTGTGCTCCTCTTGTTTTGAAAATATGATTAACCGATCGATATTGAAGTAGAGAAGGGACTTGTTTGAACGAAGTGCTACCGCAAAAGCAATTGTCGCTGAAACCTCCTTTAAATTTAAATTACTACAATGATCATCAATAAATCTGCTAGCTTACCAAATCACAATTTGCAACATCTAGGTGAGTTAGTGTGTCATTATGGCCAAGTCCTTCGGCTAGAGCAATTCCTCCTGTACATTTTATTGGATTTACACTAATGTCCAATTTTTCAAGAGAACGATTGCGCTGGATTTTAGAAATCGAATTAAGCATAAATTCTTTTCAAATAAAAATAGAAAGGTGGCATAAAAGCTTTTTGAAACTATAAAAATTAAGTTATAAATACCCTTAGGGCCTCGCCAATTTCACTGGCTCCTTTGTCTGAAATAAAATTTCCTTTTAAGTTTAGTTCCTTTAAGCACAGATCTTCCTGCAAAAATATAAAATTTCAAAATTAAATATATTATAGGTGTTTAGTTCACATTCTTTCTTATAAGGATATAAAATTTAATACATTCTTATTGCCACTCAATTACAGAATTTTACTTTTAAAAACTCTGCCAATATTCTAGCGCCATCATCATAAATACGGTTGTATCGTAAATCCAAACTATTGATAGCTGGAACAGCTCGAAGGGCAGTGCATAGATGGGCGATGTCAGTGTCAACAAGGCGATAATTAGTTTCGTTATAATTATTTCCACAAAGTTTCAGGTAGACCCATTCAATTTTACTCAATCTTCGGTAAAAAATAAAACATTAAATCAATTATTTAAAGCGGATGTAAAATAAAACTGACTACCCCTTATTATATTCAAGTTCTTTATTCAACATTTTCAAAATGAAAATGGAAGATTTTTCAGACAGTTCATCCCGCCGTAAATATTTATAAAGTTTAATTAGACTTTCCAGATTACGCAATCTTTCTTCCGACATTGATTGTATTCTGTTTTGATTTTGTAAACGAAAAATGCAAATTAAAAACAACTTAAATATTATCGAATACCGATCTAAAAAGGAATTTAAATTAAATATATGTCAAAATTATTAAAATATTTTGTTAAATTGCAAATTAATAAATAACCTTGAGATTTAAAAATGAAGCGTTATAGTCACCTCTAACAACTGTTAAAACAGTAAATTGAAATAAAGCTGGATATTTTAAGCTTAATGAAATGCCCTGTTATCGCTTTGAAATTTTTCAAATTTAAATTTGGCCTTGAAATATTAGCGGATTGTTACAATAGTAAAGCCTGACTGACTCAGAATTCTCCGTGGCAGATTCTCCTACATCTAACTAAACTCCTAGAACTAGCTAAGCTATAGCTCAGTTATTGAGGAAACAGACGTATAACACGGAACCCGTTTATCCATTAATCTGCCACAGAGATTTCTGAGTCAGTCAGGCTTTACTATTGTAACAATCCGCTACAAACTTAAATACGTACTTGGTAAATCCTTCAAATTTGCGATATTCTATTTTTACAATTGTGTTTTATTTATTAATCTATTCGAAAGTATTATATTCCATTCAATTTTATAAAATTAATGTTGTCATGTCTACGAAGACTTCAGAGGCCTCGTTAAGTTTTACCAGAAATCTTAATCGAAGAGTCGTGATTTATTGAATTTTACCCTCATATTTCATAATTATTTATCAATCCCATAGTGCAAATAGCGTTTCATTTTCTTTGATGTTGCAGATACAGTTTCTTGTGGCAGATTTCTATTTGAGCTTCAAAACTTATCCATTAGGTATTTTCCCAACAATTTTTTCATTGCATTTTCATGCATTTTACTTGACAATTGATTTCTTCTAAAGTTTGGTTTTTCTCCAAGATAAAAGGTTGTAAAGTGTTTTGTCTGGTCCGAGGAAATAAATTAATATTAACGAATTCCCCTGCAAAGCAGTAAGGAGAATAAAATTTTTTATCAATCTTCCGATAACTCTGGGGTAGCTTCTGGAAAGAATACCCCTTTAACTTTTAGAAAACAGAGTATAAGAAAATAGGAATAAGAAACAAATAAGAAGCAGCATTTTCGGGATTATTGGAACGATTTCTAATTTGTTTATTTTCACACAGTGATGTGGCCAAAATTCACACAATATTGACCATTTGGTATGTTTACTTATTAAATTAGGAAACTGCTATAGCTTTAAAAGCCTTCCAAATAGACACAAGCTTTGAACTTAATAATCTACACGGAGCCTAACAAAACTTCCTACCGTCTACCCAATATCCCCTCCAAAGAATAATAATTTTAGTCAATTTTAGCAATTATACAGAAATATAATTACTTAAATATAAGTAATCAATAAGTATGCCAAATTGTCACTTCACCTTCCTTTTATCATTTTAGATGGAATAGTTCATTTTATTCTACAGAAACACCTGTAAATTTTAAACTGAAGTAAAAATGAAATTTACACTTATTAAGTCGCAATCGTGGAGAAAAAGAACTTATTTCGTATGAACTTATTTCTTATGAATAGGGTAAGTTTGGCATAAAAAATCGTTACCATCAGATAAGTTTGCCAACCACGATCTTGAAATGGTTTTGTTTCCTCACAAGCAAGGTTTACCTATTAGCTAAGATTCTTTTGCCTATGTATAAATCAAGTAAGTATTTATTTGGCCAAATCAATGCTTACAAAATGCTTATACCTCACACAACGTGGATCAAATATTCAAGGAAAGAATCGTCGAGATTATTTATTTATATCAAATGGCAGGCGTTATGATAGTTATCATTAGCCCTTAAGTTGACTTTAGGCTTCACAGATGGGAAGGAGCGTCAAAGTGAAAAAAAGTCGAGATGGGGGGGGGGGCAGAAGAGTGTTTAAAGATGTTAAAGAGACAGACACAAAGTTGGGAAAAAGGTGAGGTGAGTACGGTTGAAATAGTCGAATTTGAGATACAGTGGGATGATGGTAGTTTGGAGTCAGAAGTCAACTGCCGAATAATTGACTTTTTTGCCGTATGAGTATACGTTGTCTAGGTTGCACCATGTGGAGGTAAGTCTATAGCACACCCCCAGTCGAGATTGATATGAAGGTAATATACCATTCCATTAGAAATGAGTCGGAAGCATATGTCGCTTTTATACCCTTGTACTCATAGTCTAGCGTTTTTTATTTATTTTTATCAAATGGCAGACCTTTGTTGACTTCTGGAATGTCAAAGTCACAAAAAGTGGATAGGGGGACAGAAGAGTGATTCACAGATGACAAAGGGACAGACAGACACAAAGGTAGATAGTCAGAATTTAGCAGCCAGTTTGTAGACTGTCTTTTAATAGGTAGCACCACCTGGTGGTAAATCTACCTCCCACCCCTATTCTAACGAAACGCTGAGTAGGCACAGACAAATTCAAAGCTGACGCAATGAAAAGCTTAATGAACTGAAGTTCACTCATTGTCATAAGTCAATTAGGAACTGCGGATAAGAAGGAGTTGTACGTATAGTAATGAAAAAAATCAAAACGGGTAAACGGACAGGGAGTGTAATGAAGATGGTTATCTATTGACACCAAATGTGCAAAAAGCGAAAAATCGCTGTCAGGATGATGATAGATTGCCATGGGGAGTCTGCAAATTAGTATATTTAGGGCGAGAGGGGTGTGCGATAGACTAAACCTCCACGTGGTTCATCCTAAGCAACGTATGCCCATACGGTAAAAAATTCTATTAATCGGCAGTTGACTTCTGACTTCAAACTACCATTACCCCACCGTATGCCACATTAGACCACTTCACAGTACTCACCTCACCTTTTATCTACCTTTGTGTCTGTCTCGTTTACATCTATGAAACACTCTCCTGTCCCCCCCCCCATCTCGACTTTTTTTCACTTTGATGTTCCTTCCCCTCTGTGAAGCCCGAAGTCAACTAAAGGGCCCATGATAACTATCAAAACGCCTGCTATTTAATATAAGTATTTAGGAAGAGTGGAGATGTTGGCAACATTTACAACGAAAGAAACAAAGGCATGCTTAACTGAATTGATGGCTGCTTCTTGCAAAGAGCTTATAGTACTGCTCCATATCATTGAACAGAACATCAGAGATTGGAATATTTAGAAAAAACGCCGAGTTACTTCACTATCTTCATGAACAAACTGGGATTTATAAACAATGTCAATTATTTAAAATTTTGACCCAAGAAAGAAAAAACAGACACTCTCTGTCTCTTGACATTATAAAATTCCATTTATTAAGAAGAATATTGGTTACATCGCTAGGATGCTTGCAGATTTAGAACTTCCATTTATCGGATCCGTAAAATTTAGAGCTTTTCCAAACCATCGTACAGATCCTTCACCAGATCTCTACAATCCTCCAGACCAACTGAGATACGAATCAGACTGTCGGAAATTCCAAGCAGTCGACGATGCTCTTCAGGAACCGAGGCATGTGTCATTACAGATCTAAAAAGAAACGGAACATTAGGAAAGCATATTCAGCCACAATTATTATGAGTTATAAAAATAGTTTTAAAAAATTATATTAAGGAATCGTAGATAGCAACGAAAAGCTTTAAGTGGTTATCTGAAAAAAAGCCAGTAGTAATAGCTCAATAAGCTCTGAATATCACAGATTTGGATCCAGCAACATGGGTATCTAATCTCAAAATGTGAACTTTGAGGCATTGGAACACAGAGGTTCCATAGTCCTTACAACCACCTTTCCCGCCTCTCAAAAGTGCATTTGCGTTAACACGAAACTGTCCGAGCAGGCGCGCTGATATCGGCGATGTGAAGAGTTACGGTGCTTCATCTTCAAATTATTCCCCCAATTGTCCCCAAATCTTACATGAATGCAACTTCATGCAGGCACATTTACCATCCTTTTAATCTGCATTTTGACACTTAAAATTCTCCAACTTGCATTTTTTACATTCGCTACATTGTTTTGTGGTGAAGATATGCAATACACTACTTGCTGATAATATCTATAACGTTGAAAGTGGGGCGTGCGATAGACTTACCTCCACGTGGTGCACCCTGGGCAACATATACTCATACGGCAAAGTCTATTAACTGGTAGTTGACCTCTGACTTCAAACTACTAAGTCCCCACTGCATTTCATATTCGACTAATTTCACAGTACTCACCCCACCTTTTTTCTACCTTTGTGTCTGTCTGTCTGTCTCTTTTACTGTGAACCACTCTTCTGTTTCCCCTATCGACTTCTTCTCATTTTGATGTTCTACCTCTCTGTGAAGCCCAACTCTTCTCATTTTGATGTTCTACCTCTCTGTGAAGCCCAAAGTCAACTAAAGTGCTAATGATAACTATCATAAAGCCTGCCATTTGAAACAAATAAATAATGGCATGAATAATAATGGTTTTAAGCTTACGGAATTTCAATAAGACTCTCATATCCCCCGAGACTTTCTGCAAGCGCGAAGTACTAAAAGTAAAAAATTGCGATTTTATAATTCGTCAACTCACTCGATATCTCGTAATGTGCTCACCTCAACTTCATAAGGAAATCGGAACATCACTGGAGTTGAGACAAGTACACACACACACACACACACGCATCTACTCGCACCTTTGAACTCATAAATCTCTCGACTCCTGGACCTGAGCTTCCTCTCGGTTCACAACCAGCCTGTTCAAAGGGTATTCTCACTTCTCTGCCCTGTTGTCGTGGTGAAGAAGGGCGATTAGAGTAACTAATTGCTGCTAAGTCCCACTCGCTAAAGCCCTGCCAAAAGGTGGTCAGAGAGCAGGCAGTGGAATTTTTCCCAAGGACTTTAATCCTCTCTCCTGTTCAGCTTATTCGCTGATGGTGCTTCTCGCACTGCTAATAACCATCCAAATGATTAGAGCCATTGAAATAAAGATCGTAGGTTTTGTGAGTTAAACGCGTATCTCTCTCCATCCTTGCGCTATTAGCGTATGATATCTGACAACTTAATGGTCTAAACTTAAACCTTATTACGGGCCCACAAAGCGGAGTTGATCAGATTAGCCTCAAACTGGTTCAAAATAGGGGCTAAATTGAGCTTAGTTTACGAGTTAACCACAAAACATTCCCTTATCGAGATAAAGTGACAGACCGGCCAAGGTGGTTGGGTGGGT